GAACCAATCATCGTGAAGTGGATTTTCCCATTTAAACCATTGTTTTACGATCACAAAAGCAATCGCAAAAACCTAATTATCAAGCGATTTCTTCATTAAGCGAGGCAATCGTTAAGCAAGGCACCACTGTATTAGTCAGAATATTCAGACAATGAAGTCGTGGTGTCTAAAACAAGAGCTGAACTAAAAAAGCACCCCACTGCCATTTGGTGGCATTACTCACAATTAAAGATAGGCACAAAACGCTGGTTCAGCATGGTTCAGTTCCTGGCCAAATGGCTCATCCAGACTTTGGCACTCTGCCCCCTCCAGTGGGTGTCCACTTTGCCCTGACAGTCTGCAAAGTAAAGGCCAAAAAAGAGAACCTTAGTTCTCTTAGCTTTTGCAACTTTCTATATTAACATCCTAGCCAAATATTTGGAGTACAGGGTTAGGTCATCATCAACATTAAGTTTGGCACAGTCCATGAGGTTTTTTAGTGTGGGTTTATGACTTCAATGACCTCATATATGGCTGGCTGACATAAAAGTTCATTCCATGGTGAAACACAATGGGAATTTGTTTTTAAGGGGGAAAGGAGGAAGAAATGCATAATTCTGCAGAAGAAAAACAAATACAGAACTTCTTGGAAAAATTATTATCTTCTTGGGATTTGAGAGGTGTGGGAAAGAGATGGTATATGCATAGTGATAGATTTTCTCAGACACATGTTATCTAAAGAAGACAGGATATCTTAAGAGACTCCAGGAAATCCTTTTGCACTTGAGAACCTTTAAACCGTTTCTGAAGTCTGCAAAAAGGCGTATGCAAGTTTACCAAACAGCTTGTCAAATTTAATGTGCACAAGTAATCTCAGTCTAGCTTCTTATAACCCAGTTCCCATCTCTAGAAATCATTGTAAAGTGAAAGACCTAATCATGAGAAGGAATACAAGAAAGAATAATATATACATCAAAAATGCTTTGTTCTTGTGTTCAAACCACAGTAGACACATATGTTTCTATTGTTCATTCACCGTAAATTCTAGAAACGTAACCCTCCCATTTTCTTTGGTGTCTTTTTCTTTTATTCAAACACAGGTACAGACACAGGTATCAGGTTGAGCTGATAGTCAACATATCCTTTAAGACACCTGTGCCTGGAATGTACAAGGCCTGAGCCTGCCTTTTTCTCGTTCTGTAACCCCTTCTCTCTCTCTCTTTGTCCCAACCCATCCAGCACAATAGTGTGAAAAGAACAAGGTGCTCAATCCAGAGATCTGAACTAATTGCTAGTGAGGAACTTCTGAAAATAGGATGAGGGTAGCATGTGTCCCACCACTGGGCAAAAGCCAGAGATCTGAACTAATTGCTAGTGAGGAACTTCTGAAAATAGTAGAAAATGTTTCTTAAATGAGATTGCCAAGTCTAAATGGAAACCTAAGGGTTTGGGGTTTAGATACCTTTTTGCAGACCTCTAGGGCAAGGGTGAGCAAAGTGCAATCAGTAACACACACACACACACACATTTTAACTTTACAGCACAGGACTGTAAAACAGGCCACAGAAAAGGAAAGCTCTGACATTGTATTATGGAACTCTAGAAAATGTTTCTTAAATGAGACTGCCAAGTCTAAATGGAAAGCTAAGGGTTTGGGGTTTAAGATACCTTTTTGCACACGTCTAGTGCAAGGGTGAGCAAAGTACAATCAGTGAGCCACATGTGATTTCCAGGGACTCACGTGCAGCCCTCTAGCATCACAGGGGTACCCCCATCCCTCCCCTAAGATATATTTTTAAGAAAAATGACTCAACAACACTTTTGCCGCCTGGTGTTATAGGAGGCCACCTTATCAAGTCTCAGGGGTCTGCAGCAATCCCTGGTCCTCCACAGCCCCACATTTTTGCCCACTAAGAGTTGTGAAGGGACTTCTAAAGTTTATGCAGCCATGATATTTCTCCTTAGGGAAAAATGTGCAAAAATGATTATAGTGGGTTTGCGTGTGATCATTCAGAGAGATCTGGGTTCTCCCTAAAAACAACGTCAAATGACTAATTCTGCCCCCTTCTTCTGATAGGTGCTGGTAAGTTCTTTCCTCTAGTCAATCTCTAAAAAAACACCCAGCAGGAAAACTTACTTGTACATCATTTTGAATTAGTAGCTGCCATTACCTCCCACTCTATTCTCCATCCAATATGGTGTCAGAGTTTTATTTACAATTTTGAATGCTGCCTGTAGTTTGAGTCACGGGGGGGGGGCTTTCTCAGCTGGAATGATTATCTATTCAGCCATAACCAATCATTCCTCCCAGCTGTAAAATTCAAAGAGAGTCCTGCCTCTCTTCTGAGTATTCTATCCCTCTCTTTCATCAATTGGTAGCAGTTGTTTATTGCTGTTGATTTGTTCGGTTGATTGCTAGTATGTGTGCAGTAAAGAAAGCATTATACACAAGTCTGGTATTTCAAGCAATGGTAAGTAAAGAAACTTTTTTTATTCTTTCTACAAGTATCTCAGAGTGAACCATGGATGTAAATAATAATGTATTTGGCTTATAAATGTCACATCAAATCAATGCATTTTTTGCCTTTATCATACAAGAGATGTGTGTATTTGGCTCTTGTCACTTTGTACCTCAGATTGCACTCTGATTTTTTTAATTTTTGGATGACCAGCATAGCCAAACAGAATCATAATCCCTGACCCAAACCAGGTAAGAATTATGATTCTTCAAGAAATCTCTCAATAAACCTGATACCTGGAGGTGATGGGACTAGAGGCCATGATCTTAGTTTTTGGGATGTGAAGCATCAGACCATTTTTGGCGCTCTCCTCTTTCACCATCATTAAAAGTCTCTTTAATTCCTCCTCACTTTCTGCCATCAGAGTGGTATCATCTGCATATCTGAGGTTGTTGATATTTCTTCTGGCAATCTTAATTCTGGCTTGATATTCGTCCAGTCCTGCCTTTCACATGATGTATTCTGCATATTAGTTAAATAAGCCGGGGGACAATATACAGCCTTGTCGTACTCTTTTCCCAATTTTGAACCAATCAGTTGTTCCGTATCCAATTCTAACTGTTGCTTCCTATCCCACATATAGATTTCTCAGGAGACAGATAAGATGGTCAGGCACTCCCATTTCTTTAAGAACTTGCCATAATTTGCTGTGGTCCACACAGTCAAAGGCTTTTGCATAGTCAATGAAGCAAAAGTAGATGTTTTTCTGGAACTCTCTGGCTTTCTCCATAATCCAGTGCATGTTAGCAATTTAGTCTCTAGTTCCTCTGCCCTGTCAAAATCCAGCTTGTCCTTCTGGGAGTTCGCGGTACACATACTGCTGAAGCCTACCTTGTAGGATTTTGAGCATAACCTTGCTAGCGTGTGAAATGAGTGCAATTGTACGGTAGCTGGAGCATTCTTTGGGATTGGGACACTTTGGGATTGGGACATAGACCAGTCTTTTCCATTCCTCTGGCCACTGCTGAGTGTTCCGAATTTGCTGGCATATTGAGTGTAGCACCTTAACAGCATCATCTTTTAAGATTTTAAATAGTTCGACTGGAATGCCATCACCTCCACTGGCCTTGTTGTTAGCCATGCTTTCTAAGGCCCACTTGACTTCATTCTCCAGGATGTCTGGCTCAAGGTCAGCAACCACACTATCTGGGTTGTGTTTAGAAGTAGAGAATGCAAGAGGCAATGCTGGCACCCCCAAGGTCAACTACCTACAGCAGATTAAGTAAAGGCCACTGGAGAAGAGGGGCATCCCACACCAAAGATTATAAATGCATCTGGCTTTGTCACTCCCTGTAGCATGCCTTATGTTGCATCTGCTGAAACCTCTGCAAAACAACCTCAGTTGTTTACAACCATGCTTCTGGCTACTCCCTGTCTGATCTGTCACCTTTAAATGAAGTGATTTATAGATTGTCTACTTGACTCTGACCGCTGACTATTCTCTGCACGCACAGAGAGTCTCTCTGTTTATGAATGCTGTGTTCTGACCCAAACTGGCCTAGGCCTCCCCTGAATTCTTGCCTGCTAACACGCCTAACCTGCAGTTGTGAGAAGGTTCTGAAAACAGAATTTCATTTGATAATAAGAGAGTTTAAATTTTCAAGAAACCAATTTTCTGATAAATGTGCTTCTTTCTCCCTTCCCCCTCTATTTTTTTCTTTACAGGGCAGGGGGAGAAATGGTAACAAATGGATGGAAAACTCTGCCTCCCCACTACAAATATTCAGAGAAATTGTACTTTTTGCCCCATCCCACATATAGAGTAGAAAACTTTGGCCAATTTTGCTTAGCTATATTTCTTTGGGGGGGGTGCGGGATGAATTTGGGAAATTGAAAACATTTGATTCTAAGTGACAGAAACCTAAAAGTCAAACGCATTTGCAGTTTGAGGAGGGGGTTTGAGCATAACATTAAGCCTACATGGAAATGTACTTTATGGACTCTGCATCTCTTCTTCACAACTGGCTCTGTTGAATCTAATATTGCATCTCTGCTTTAGATTTATAGCGGGACAGAAACATGGAGAAACTGCTGTAGGCAAAGAGATGATTCGTTTTCTTTTTAACCTGGGACATTTTAATACAGTATATGCTGATTTTACTGGAAGGTTTCTTCCCATGCGTTAACCTACTGCTGGTTTAAAGAACGTGGGATCCTGCAAAAAAATGAAAGGCCGACTTAACACTATAATGAAGGGAGCAAACCCGGAAGAAAAGAGTGTTTAGCTGTCACAGTTACATAGCTTAGAAATCAGTAAGGCAGGGAACCTTCTGACAATGGCGAATGAGTAGAGCAACTGTGGGCGGGATGTTATGAATAATAGGTTGAAAAGTTCCTGGAAATGGAGGGGCTGCTATGGTGCCATATGCCTGTAGGGAAGAAATTACCTAGCTGCAGAATCCCAGTCGCCCTGCTGTTGATACAGAATTGGTTTAATAAGACAGCAAAAGAAGAAATTACAATAGCACAAAGCAGAGCAATATGTAGAGTTCAGCAGGGAAACCATAAAACAAGCAGTGGGGAGTATTGCTCTCATAGGATTGCCCATTATTTCTAGCAGCACTGCTGCTCAGCAAGGGATATCAAAGACCATGATTATTGCCAAAGAGCTTCTCATTGGGTTGGATCCAAAGAACTGTAAAAAGAAGAGAGAAAAAAACATTTGGAGGTCTTCTGCAAGAGAGCTGGTTCGCATTGGGGCAGTAGCATAACAGGGCTTCCTCTGGCCTGCCCTCGTTACCTCAGCCAGGCGGGCATATTCTACTTTAAGGTTTTGGAAATAATTAGGTTTATCTGTTTATCCCAACAGCACACACACACAAAAAATGAGCCTCTTTTTTGGATGTATGGTGGTTTGGGGAGCCCATATCTCTACAGGGTCCAAAGGTTGGGATGCTTCTTGGGAAAAGTATTATGTAAACAGATATTTCACTTCAGGCTGTAAAAAACAGCAAAAAAAAACTTGCTATACATTTCCTTTCCCCCTTTTCAACGCTTTCTTTACTTCACATGCTAGTAAGGCTGGCCCCTTGAGTGCCTTACAGGAACAAGGGTATAAAGAGAAATTTCTAGACTGGCTGATGGCCCAAAATACTGCAGCATTAAATGCATGAATGAAAATAAGGCTTCTTTTGAAAGGCATGAAACAGCTTGAGAAATATAGATCATGCCAAGAACAATGCAGCAAGAGAAAGAGTTAAGCTTCCCTTCCTGACACAGCTGACCCCCACCCCCTTCTAAGGCCACTCAAGCTTCCTTGCAGCTGATATTTACATTTTAAAAATGTGTGGTAATTGCTGTCACACACTTAACATCACACAACATTTTTGTCTTTAGGCCTGAAATTTTATTTATTTATTTATTTATTTATTTATTTATTTATTTATTTATTCATTCATTCATTCATTCATTCATTCATTCATTCATACCCTCCTCAGGAGGACACAAGGTGGTTTACTTTCTCAAAATAAACCCTGTTAAAAGCTGAAAAACAGTACTGTAAACGTCTTCCTTGTTAGGCCTGCACATACCTAGCTGCTCTCTTAAGAAGACAAAGCAATACATGGCATCATAATGTCACAGCACATGTTTCGAGGAAAACTAAGAAAGCCGGATGCACAGGTTGCCATTTTAGTAAGAAACCAGTACTTGTCTCTCCCCAAGCAGCCCTTACCAGGGAAACGCAGCCCACTTCAGCTGTCTCACAAATGAATGTATATGATATATATGTTATTTTACCAGTATTTTATTGAGACTCTTACTTCTATAACAATAAATAATAATAGGAACAAGGGAGATAAATTTAAAATCAAGTGGGACAAACAATAGCATCCTGTGTATGCCATCAAACTACCAGGTGGAAGGAAGGAAGGAAGGATGGAAGGAAGGAGCTTCTAATGATTTAATAATGTCCCTGTTGGTTGTTCTGGTTTTTTCGGGCTCTTTGGCCGTGTTCTGAAGGTTTCGCCAGTCTCTGTGGCCAGCATCTTCAGAGGACAGCAACCTGTGCTCTGGTGTAGTTGGCTTGGGAGTGCAGTATTTATGGCTGTGAGATAGGCTTTTGTCTTTTTCTGTAGATGGGTGATTAGTGTGTATTGTTGTGGGTGTATTGTTGTGCTAAGGAGAAGTAATTATCTGTCACTGTGGTTGATGGGTGTCATTAGCTGGTCTTCTGTGTGTAGTGATCCCCTGTCCTTGTGGCTGGGTAGAGTTCGTTAACCTTTTGCTCATTGTATTTTCGAGAGCTGGGAGCCAAGTTTTGTTGAGCTTCATACCTTCCTCTTTATTGTGGAAACTGAGCTTGTGCACAGATCCCGGCCGTGAAAGCCTTCACGAATATAATGTCCCTGTTGTTACAGACTTGTTACAGACAGCCAATCTGTTTTCATGCAAGAAAGCAGAACTAAATAAAACAGTAGACAGACTGAAGGAGATCAAGAAATGGGAAAGAAGTATGGGAGAAATTGGTTGGGATAGGAATTGGATCGCATATTAGGTCACAGCACCTGTTGTGCTCTGAAGGAATTTTTAAATACTGAATGTGAGTTCTGCCAGCCCTGACTAGGCCAGAAGGTGTTCTGTCTTCTATCCTCAGATCCATACACTTCAGACCAACAGGTTGAGACAGAACATTGCTTACTGAACTTGGCAGAGGGTAAAAAGCAACTGGTTCAGTCCACAGTCCACCTTCCTTGGCTCTAGTTCTTGGTACTGGCCCAAGGTCCTTTGGTATTATTTATTTATACAAGCATTCAGCAATAGATATTGTGTGACAGGCTTATTCAGCATTCTATAGGGCAATTCAAAAAACTAGGAGGGCCAGAAGAAAAGATTATAGCTTTGAAACAGGACCTTGGAGCAACACCAAATTGGGCACAGATATAGAAGACAGCCTGCTCTTACTATGTGCCAAATTTGGAGATGTTTGGGCAAGTGGATTTTGAGTCCGAAGTTTTTAAAAGTAAAACTGGTTTACCCATCCCAGCCCCACGCAGACACCAGCAACCTTCTGGAAAGTAAAACTGGTTTACCCATCCCAGCCCACGCAGACACCAGCAACCTTCTGTGTCTGCAGATTTAAAACAGATCAGATACATTGGAAAGACCGAACTTGCTTATCTTGCCAGAGAATAGTCAGTCCCAGCCCCTCATTTTTTAATTTGGAAACAATCCAGATATCCATGATTCTAATATCAACTTTGAAAATAGCCAAAAAGTCTGAGTTTCTTATAAATATCAGCATTCTAAATGTAAACATAAACATTGTAAAAAACATGAGAGCCCACCTGAGGTCTGAACTTTTGATTCTGCAGTCAGGACCAAATTAAATGACTCTTAGAAGAAAAATATTCAGCTCCTTCCTGGCCAAACAGACATTTAAAAGGGTTTATATTTCTAGTGTGAAAATATTTTCAAATATATTGTTTAAAAAATTAGAGAATTATTTAGAGAATAAATATTCAAATACTCATTTAAGCTGTGAAATTATTGGGTTTTTTGTTTTTGTTTTTTTGCTTCATGGCTGGGGGTGGTCTGTCTTGATGTTACAGCTTGGCTGCTTATTCTATACATCTTGACACTATACCATTGTTTGGTAATTTTTTTAAAAAAATCCAAAAATGTTATGTGCCATGGAGTCACTTCTGATATGCGGTAACTATATGAGTTAGTGACTTCCAAAATGTCCTACCACATCTCATATTAGGTTATTTCTTCCTATTGTCTGTCCTTCTAGCAAGATTGTTTTTTTCCCCATTGGGTTCTGCTCAGATCTTGCAAACTAACAGCTTTGGCTTCCTTTATTGTTTCGATCCATCTCATGTTAGATCTTTTTCTACTTTTCCAACCCACTTTTCCCAGCAATATAGTATATTTTGCTCACTTCTGTATTTCCATTATATGTTGCATGATAGGATAGGTTCAGGTTACTCATTTTTGCTTGAGTGAGAGTTAAGGTTTGACTTGAATGAGCATCCCATTCTGTTTTTCCGGCTGCCTTTTGTATCTGGATAGCTCTCCTCCAGCACCACATTTCAAATGAGTTGATTCTTGTCCCTATCTTTCTACCCTTTCTTTCACATTGCAAAGCAAAGCAAAGCAAAAACAAAGTTTGCTGATTAAAGCACTCTCTGAGTGGTTTACAATTTAATTATATAGGCTACACATTATTGCACATAGTATGGATAATTTGACTTTGGTTTCCGGTGACATTCTTTGCTAACTCCAACCAATTCCTTTTTTAAAAAACTTCAAACAGCAAAGGGACAACATGTCCATACATAGTCCAATATAGCTTTTCTTCCTCAGCTTGCCTAATTCAAAGAAAGGGTTTGGAAATTCCATAGCTTTCTAGTCTGCATTCTATGGAGCAGGCACAGCAACATTAATTTACCAAAAGGTAACGGGTATGGGTATGTTTCTCAGTTGTATGCATTGTACCTACTCTGTACCTACTCACACCTTTGCTTCACCATTTCACTAAGTCCAAAACAGCCTTTCAAAATAATTTGGCACTGAGAGACTAAAGCCATATTCAAGCTATTCTTCTCCCAATAACCACAGTTGTGCTCATCTTCTGGAATCCTCTACAACTGGATAATTTTATATGAGGAGTATTCCATTTTGAATGTGTGTGTAGTGTATGTAGTGTATGTATATTTAAACTACAATTCAAACTTGTTGAAAAACAGCCCTGACAATTGCTTTGTGTTTGGGAAAGAAGTGGTTAACTGATTAAAAATGTAGTCAGCTTCTGGGATTTTCCTTTGTATGGTGTCACTTTGTGAATGGTAGTGAGCATAAGAGGGTATTCTGTAGATCATCTTGACTGCTGCTATTGGTGTTCTCAACATGCAGGCTGCTCTTTCCTGCTGATAATGCGGGTACTATATTGTCCGGCAATATCTGATCATTTCCTGGCTTTTTGAATCATCAGTACAGGAGCACAATATCCTACATTAATAAATTGGAGGTGCTTTTGAAGAATTGAGTTGCCTCTTGTCCCCTGGTTCTGTTCACCAAAGGTGAGCCAGTCAGTCCTTGCCACTAGACTCTTACCCAAGAGTCCAAAGAGTCATGACCCTGGGTCTTTGCCAGTTCCTAATAAGGGGAGGGGTGGTATGCTTGCAATGAGGCCAAACTTGAGGGGGATTTCCCTGTGGGGAACCAGGGCAATCCTCATTCCTGGTATTCTTTTCCCTGGCATTTTCCAGTCTCTGGCACTTCCAATGTCTCCAATGTAGGGAGCCTTGGGGTATTTATGGTTCTCTCCTTCTCCCTTAGGGTCTCTGAACTGGATCAATTCTCCTAAGAGTTTTTTTTAATAAATTTAATCTCACTGCTCTGGGAGCTCTGATTCATCATTGAGGGAATCCTCAGTCCAGTAAGTCTGCAACCAATACTCCTGGGAATCACCCCACTCTCCTGCCACCAGGTCTTCTTCCTTTTGGGGTTCACTAAGGGCCCTTGCTCTTCCTTTCCTGTTTCTACCAGTTCACTGTTATGTTCTCCTTTTGTCTCTCCTAAGCCACCTTGCCCTTCCTCCCCGACCTGTCTGTGATTCTTCCTCTTCCTCTGGTATCACCAGAGTTTCCTTTTTGGTGGTGGCTCCTTATTCTTCTCTCTTTTGGTGGCAAG